CAAAAGAAGTATGAAAAATTTTTTTAGAAAACTTGGGGGAAACTGTTAAAAAAAAAAATCCTAAAATTTACCTCTATTCAAAATCAAATAAATTAGTTGAAATTTATTATTTCTCCCTTATTCTTGTTTTATGATACTCTTAAAAAATAATTTAATATTAGATTAATATTTTGATATTTAACAGCACATATCGAAACTTATTTGAGGAAAAAAAAGCCAAAAATTGCAATTAATTATTTTTTAATTTAGCTGTGAAATATAAAATTATTGTTTAATCAACTAATCCGTGGACATTATATTAATATTTAGATATTTTACAGCAAATATCAAAACTTATTTGAATATAAAATGACAAAAATTGCAATTACTTATTTTTAATTTAGCTGTAAAATATAAAATAATAGTTTAATCGACTAATCCGTCGTCTATTTTTTAGACAAATGTAAAATAAACATTCCTGCAAAATTATAGGCATTTAAATCAAAAATATTTCGATTTGAAATGAAGGAAAATGACCGAAAAAGTAGTTTTGAGGAAAAGAACAAAAAAGGCATAATTATCAATGTAATAATTAAAAAAGTTGATTTTTTAAAAAAATCACTATAACTTCTGGTAGATTTGGCATAAAAACAGAACAGAAACTGTTAAAAAAAGAAAAAAGCTCATAGTTTTATTTTATATAAAAAACAGAAAAATGATTTTTTAGTCAAAATCAGCTTAAAAATTTGTAATAATACCATAATATAAATTTAATTAATCGAATTATTTTTAAAAATATAATTTTTTTAAAGATTATCATTTGTAAGCGCAGATCTTGTATTTCAAGTGGTCTAACATTTCACACCTCTGGAAGGTTATAATTAGTTTTCTAGCTTTTATAAGATAAATGTTAAATGAAATTATGTTTTGAATCAATTTGATTATCGTGTAGCCAAATTTAAGAAACCTGATAGTATACACAGAAAACAATTAAAGTCAAAACTGCCAGAAAATGATAAATTTAACGTGTTTCTGTCTTTGGGAGAAAACCAAAAATTTCGGAAAATTTTCCCCAAGCACTTCGGTAATGATTTTGGAAAATGTAACCAAATATTGTTTTATAATATGTGACAAAAGTTTATAATTTTATCGTACCACCTTAAAGTATGGTATGAAAACCATTTATTTGGTGAAATTTACTTTCAAGTTTTGTATCTCTTACTAAATATGTGGTAATAAGAACAATGCTTTTGGAAAACAAGAATTTCTAGTAAACCGGTTAATATGAATGAAAAAATTACCAAATAAATGGCTTAAATTCCGCATATTTTGGATTTTAGTTTTCTTTTTATTACCAGAAATATCACTAGCATACAATACGGTAATTTTAACAGAATTTTTTCTCCGTGTATAGTTCAGCTTAAAAGAATAATAATTTTGCTGCAAATTTAAGTATTATTTTGGTTTATCACGCCTCAAAGATAAATGTGAAAATATTTCATTTTAAAGTAAAAATTAAAATTATTATCTGCAATATTAACATACATTTCACAATCGGATTTAATATTGACGATTAACGATTTTGTTGTGCAATCGGGAATTTCATTAGGAATTTTGAAGTGTGTTATTCTTTAATGTCTTAGAAATTTGTTATTTTCTCCATACAGTGCCGAGATATAATTCGAGGAACTGAGGAAAATTTCAAAGGTAACTGATTTTTCTGAAAATCATCATCTAGGCAAGTGTTCCCCTACCCCCGGTCCGTGGATAAAATGGTACTGCGTAAACGCATAGTTCGGTCAGCTGTTGAACCGGTCAATATTCGGTCACTGTTTATAAAATATAGTATAAAGCCAAAAGTCGTAAAGCTACTGGGAGTTGTAACAGATAATATCAAATAGGATAATAAAATAAGTTCCTTAATATTTATCCAAACTATTTACTTTAAAAATTTGACAACCAAAAATCAAATTTTGCTATCAACAGAATTTCTGCCTTATGCAACTTTACTAAAAAATTTAAATGACTCTCTGACAATTTTCTAGCAAATTCTGAAACACAACCGAAAGGCCACAGAGAGCAAATAGGATTGATCTCCTAAAACGCATCCATATTCCATAACACACCAAAGACAAATTGAGGCAAATTTAAATTAAAATAGTGGTCTTTATTAACAAGATGCTATTTTGCTATACACCTTAATAATAACAATCAATAATGTCAATTAGAACTTACAGTCACAAAACAGCAAACGATGTGCAGTTCTCACCTCCAGAAATTAAAACAAAATTATGACTTAGTAAACGCCACTATTCGATATCTAATTTTCATTTTTAACGGAATCACAATCACTGTTTTACTCAACTTCACAATAGAGTAAAAACGACCCACTCGATTATTTTCTAACAAATTCTTGCAAGACAATCGAAATACAGCAGATAGCAACCAGGACAAATATTCCTAAACGCATCCATATTTCCCAACACACGGAAGACAACTTGAGACATATAATATAAATAAACTTTATTATGCCATAGACTTTAATATTCACAGTCAACAATGTCCAAAGAACTTACAGTCATAAAATAGCAAACAATGCGTAGCTTTCGCTTGCAAGAAATTAAAACAAAATTGCAATTTAATTAACGTTACTAAAACGACTTCTTGTTTCGGCGACGCTAAAATCTCAACTCGATATCCAAATTTAATTATCAACGGAATAACAATCACTGCCTTATTCAACTTCACTAAAGAATGAAAATGATTCACTCGACGATTTTCCAACAAATTCTTGAAGACAATCGAAATACCACAGAGAGCAAACAGGATCGATCTTTCAAAACGCATCCATATGCCCCAAGCCATCAAGGTCGCAGCTGGCCGGGGTACGCCCTCGCATCGTTTGTGACAGGAGCCCTCCTGGTTTTCTTCATTCTCTTTTTTACACTTCTTTTCCAAAGATCTTGATGTATTTTGAAAGATGACTTGCTACCGTAGTGAAGCTGTAGAAGATAGTTTCTTTTGTTTTTGGGGCCAATTTCGAAACTGCACGCTGGTTATCGATTTTTCGTGTCTTTTCGGAAAATTTTTGTACCTTGTAGAAATAGCAGATTAAGGTTTCAGGTTTTTATGTGAAAAGAAGGAAAAAAATGTGGTATTTGCTACTCGCTATTTCAGTTTTGAAATGGGTTTTACATTTCCTTTTCCATTTCGTGCTCGAGGGTGAATATAAGATTCTTCTGTTTCAAATGTAAGTAAAGAATGCGTGTTTTGTTTTTGTAAGGAATTCTTTTCGGAATTGTCGCAAGAGATACTGGCGTAATACGGTACCATCATTAAAATAAATATTTGAAGAACCCACTGCCAGAGTTTGTTAAAAAACCATCATTGCAGTATGCATGTAAATTATCGTTAGTTGTTTAACGAACATCTTCCTCCTTAAAATATTTGGGGGGGGGGATTTACCTAAAGAAATTTTATTTCCCCCTTAAAAATGAACATAAAAATCCTTAAATCGGAAAAAATGAATGTTGTTTTCAAACCTATTATGTTCTTCCACAAGGCTTGCTAGAACTTAGCGAAAGAACATATTAATAATCATCCTTAGAGTACTTATGTAAGCTTCCGATGGCAAATTATTAAATGCCTTTTTTCTCATTAATCTACCTTTTTCCACTGACTGTACATGATAAATCATTATTTTATATTTAAAACTGAACTTAACTGTTTTTGACATTTTGAACACCGAATGCGTTCAAAATGTTTTTAACGTTTTTTCACTCACTCGAATTAGCTTAAGTTTAATGGAAGAATAAAGTTAAACGAAAATCGTTAAAGCATGCATGGTAACAATCGATAACTATTTAAAGAACATTTTTTTCAATTAAAAATCTTCCTTTTTCTTTACGAAACAAATTATTACCTGACCATTAGCTGCTCCTAATCAAAAGAAAATGAATGCATTTAAAATGTCATTCAACATATTCTTCCACAAAACTAGTTCTTCATTTAACAAAAAATTACAAGTACAATTTCCAAACAGCGTACTTTATTGCTAAGCTTTACCAAATAAAAATTCATATTGCGCATTTTCAAATGTTAATTATTTCATTTGATATTTAAAACGTAATGACCATATTAGAGCATTTCTTTCATTTTAAAATGTAAAGTCCATTTTTATCATAAAATATTTTACTTCTAAGCAAAATACGTGTTAATCTTTTCGTCGTTCGAATTGTATTTTCGAACAATTTTTTTTAAAAATTAAATTATGTTAATTTTTTATTGTTAACTTCACAACAGTAATGGCATGTGGGAAGCAGTGTAGGATCCATTCTTGAACACAATTTAACGGCCACACAGGGGCATGTAGTCACTACCAACACCTCCTAAAAGAGAGAAGGAATCAGCACGGATCAATTTCGTATTTCAAAGTAACGAACATAAACTGCGTAATAAAGGTTAAAATACGAACGATGACATTACGTTCGGACTACTAAGCTGTGCAGTCGTGGGGAAGGGAAATATGAAAGATGTAATAACGTTTGGACAAATAAAGGATCAAATTTCGTGCTTATGGTAACCCGTGCTGAGTCCTTCGCAGTTCTAAGAGGTATTGCCAATACACTCTCATTCTTTATATCGGAGAAGATATGATAGATGTAAGCACCTAGTCTACGCACCACACTCTTAAGCCACCCAACCTTGCACCGACCCAACTTTATCAACTATTCTTCCACCGGAAACATTACATAAGAGTGGATACAAAACCCCATAGAATCTATCTCAGAAAGTGCACTCCAAACTGACTCCTTATCTTTAGCACTATATATAGAATCACATAATTCAGAATTATTACACATAAAATAATATAGATGAGTCCGTAAAATCCGACATTTACGTAAATGTACGTTATTTATTCAATATGTTATTTAACTTTGAAACTACTTGAATTTTTTTAGGAACTGAAATAAATATTTTGCAAAAGAACATGAAACTCAAGAAACATTTTTCTTTTGCAGATATAACAACATATAGATCCTCTGCCACCCATTAAAGTTTATATCCCTGCAGCAAGCCCTAAGTAGCCTCCTCGGAAAGCAGTTCACACCAACCTTTCAAAATGCCGTTCAGCATCAAACGCTTCACAATGCATCGCAGCACCAGCCTCCCAGGAGGCCGATCCTCAGAGGGAAAGAAAATATCCCTCACGGAAATCCGGGAAAACCCCAACTCATCCCGTTCCAGTAAAAAATCCGACAAAAATAAGTCCAGTGGAAACAATTCATCATCATCTACGTCCTCATCAGCTCAGCAACAGCAAGGCAACTTGCCGAACAGTCGGTCCATGGATGTTTCTGAACTCAGAAGACTAGGATTCGGCAATCCAAGGCAAGGCCCACCTCCAGAATTGTTGGCGGACGCTATGGCAGCTGTCAATGATCCTCATCAGCAATCCTCATCGTCATCTTCATCTTCCTCCTCTACTATGGATCGACAAAGAAGAACCTTGCATAGTATTCAGGAATATCCTTCCGGCACAGCTAGGTTTAGTACACAACAACAGTCTCCAGGTGGGGGAGGAACAGTTTATGGATCAGCGGGCAACACATCGACGTTGCCTGCGAGGTGGAGGAGTTCCTTACCACCTCGGCCATCGAGTGAGATGAGAGGCGTATATAGTGATACATCTTCTAGTGGCACCAGTGGTACTGAAGTTAGAAGGTTGGTGGTGCGAAAAAATGGAGTACGATTTCAAGGTACGTGTTTTAACTTTCAATGCTTTTTAAAAAAAAATTTTGTTTCTTAGTTAATTTTTAAACACGCAACATCCTAAAATTATTAAATATGCATTAAATATTTTTATTTTCATTGAAATTGCTGTTAATTTTGTAAATTAGATATAGCAATTGGCTAGGTAACAAACACCATTGAATAACTTTAATTTGCTGAAAAGGCGTGTTGTAATGTGTGTATTTAGTTACAAAATACACAAATCATTTTTAACGGAGATTCTGCTTTGTATACTTAATAGGAGTTTAATGGGTACTTTATCTCATATATTATATAACTTTAATCCATAATTTTTTTAGCAAAAATCCTTTTCGGATTAGGTTGCTTTTAAATAAAAAGTGATGTTTTGATTTTAGTCATGAATGTTACCTTTTTTCATGAATGTTATCGCATAAGAATTACAAAGTGGTGTGTTTTTAAAAGCATTCAATATTACATAAAGTATTTCTAAAACAAGCCATTTTTATATTTAAAATTAATTTAGTCTCGACAAATTCTGTATTAAGAACGATATATGTCTATCTACTATCTAAATATATACAATGTCAAATATATATATAAAGGGAAATATATATCAAATGTTAAATATACAATGTATGTCCACTGGAAAATTCACTACTAACAATCGACTAAATCCATTTCCCGCTATGTTATAAGATGCAGAATTTACGAAGGAATGCAAAAATAAATGGAATGTTCACAGTCTCCAATTTCATAAATGTTTCATTAAAAAAAAATGTAAAAACTAAATATGTATATATAATTAAAGACGAGTTTTTGAATTTTCTACATTACGAAATCAATAGATTATAATGTTCTTTAATATGTAAAGATATAAATAACCAAAGAAAAAAAACAGCTCATTATTGAAGCTATAATTTACTATATTTCAGTGATATATATTACGATGAAGCTCTTTAGAAATACTGCTTTTAAGATCTTGTTAGAGAAAACTCTTCAAAAATGAGGACGTCTTAATTCAGTACATTAATTTTTTTGATTTCCTCTCAGAATATTTCATCTCTATTAATTAGCCAAATGTTGAACAAAGAACGACCTCATTTGCTAAATCATCATTAAGGAACACCTTTATTCAAAACTATGTCATGAATTACTATCATGGCATTTTCTTAAAAGATGAGGAATAGACAATTTAATATAGTAATATAATTAGTAATTTTTTTTTTGTTTATTTATCTATTTTCGAAAAAAATTAATAGTTGAAAATTGGGGATTATAAAAATGATTGTAATACACAGGGACTTCCAAATTAGGAGGATGATTTAACGATTTTTAAAATAATTATAGCAAGAAAAAGATTGTGTTAAAAAGAAATTCTTTCAGAAAATCTATGTGATAGAGCATTCATTTTCCTTCCAGTATTCGGTTTTCAGTACAAAAAGTTTTAATGTAGAAGGCGCTGCAAGAAGTAAGACTGTAAATCAAAGAAGAAAGTCACATTACGATATTTTCTTATTATCTCCCATCAAACAGAATAACATGTTGTAATTGAAGAATGAAATTTACATACCTGGAACGCAAGAGAAACCTGTAGGACTATGTGGTGCCATCTGTCGAAAAACGTGAACCAAAAAATCAACAACTCTGGAAAGATAAGTTTATGCTCCATAACATAAAAATTTGCCTCAAGTTTTTTTCTTCTTTTACTTTAACTGTTTATTAAATTAGAAAACCATCAGTCAAACTTAGGATATCCACGTTATGCATCTAAGTATAATACCATGCAATACTATAACATCAAGGGAGCTAGATCTTAGATTTAAAAACTATAATTATTTAAGCTGCTTTTAGAATATTGATATTATATTTTTTTAGGAATTGAATAATCATATATTTTGTCCTTGTAAGTCAGTTCTCGAAAGCCGTAAATGGATAGTCTGACGTAAGATTATTTAAAACAAGGTGTAAAATCTGCATTATCAAGTCTTTATCATCTAGTCTTAGAAATAAGATTATTCTTAACAAATTGAAAAGAATTCACAAAATTAGAAAATTACTCCTATTTTTTAAAATTAGAAATTGATCTTTAATTGATGATCAAAAACATGAGGATTGCAATGAACTGTTTTTTTTTATCAGAAAAGCAAAAGCGTAAAACAATAATAAATAATAATTGCAAATTATAATATTTGCCTTACAAATAAAACAAAAATAAATTAATCAAAAAAGGAGTTCACGTTTAGAACCCAATAGTTTGTTACAATTAAGGTTGTGAACAAATAGGTAATGGAGTAATCGGGTGACCCATGGTACCTCTAATTTGTTGAAATTAGTTCTGTTTTCTAGCGGAATTGCGATATGAATTAAACTTTACTAGTCAATATGAAGGACCTACCATAATGAGTTTTGTTGTTGATCAATTCACTTTGTATAGATAAGTTTGTTTTGCTTTTTCAACTCTCTAATGTGCATATGTTTTTAAACTAACCTTATTAATTGTACATTACAGTACATTACAATTATTTTTTGCCTAGCCCGTTTTACACTCACTAAATATTCATTGCCTAACAAGAATAGGGATTTTTTCCAATCGTAACATTGTTCTGTTTCGCTTCGTTTCTCTGCTCTCGGGATTCCTCACCCCCTCTTAATGCGTGTTTATACTGCGCTCACGAAAGCTGCAGTACATTGGAGGAAAAAGACAATTACATACAAAGCTAAACAAAGGTTTTTGGAGCCCCAGAACAAAATTTATTCCTTAAAGCACAAAAAGGCTTATTTTCTAACATTTCTGAAGACCCTTTATAGAGAAAGGCAGTTTTTATACAAATATAAAAAAATTCTCTGCAAATTACTTTTAAAAAAACTAATTAATAAACGGTATGTTTTCGTAAAGCGTTTTTGTCGGGTCCTCAGCACCCCCCGGGACGATTGCCGCTCACCCCTCCTCATTGAGTACGGCCTTGGCTACATCACTTGTAAATTGTATGCATAATTTTCTTAAATTGTCTTAATGCTTAATTAAGACAATGCTTTATTTTAATGCTTAATTTTTGAAATTGTTAGACTTGTCCAGAGAAAAAGTTGATAAAATTTCTATTTTATATAAAATAGAAATTTTATCAACTTTTTCTCTGGACAAGTCTAACAATTTCAAGGTCAAACAGTTTAGTTCCAACTGCAAACTATCGAATCCCAGCTTCCGCACTTTGAAAAAGATGGAGTTTTTGAAGAGGTAACTGTAAACATGTATCATGAGATGGGTAATGTTTTCGCTCCGGAAGATGAAAAAGAATTAATAAAAATTAAACTAAGTTATGCTTAATTAATTTGCAAAAACTGAAAAAGTTTTCTGCTGTAAGGGAATAAACAATTATCATAGTAAACAACTGATTAGCAAAATATTGCGAAAAAAAACTAAGTTCGAAGTTTAAAACTCAAATAGCTTAAAAATTATGCGAAAAAAAACTGAACTAGAACTGTAAATATCTAAAGAATTGAAAGCTGAAAACTTCTTTTTGAGGGTGGTAATAATAACCGGTAAAATAACTGATAGTAAAAAATTAACAAAAACTGAATGGGTTTGCACAAAACTGAAAAAAGTTTAGCTTCCGTACCAAACGTGTATATAAGACATTGGAATAAAAAAATACTGAACAGATAAATTAAAATAAAGCGATAAAACTAGAAAAAAGTAATTTTTGAAGGTGGTAAAATGATTTAATGTCTAATTCAATTAAGTTTAAAGAACATCAAATTGATCTGGACTGATCACCGAAACAGACCACACACAACCGTAGCTTTTTAATTTTAAAAAATAGAATTTCAATTCCAGCAAACATTCTGAAAAATGCTATTACAATCAAAATTCTTTTCCCCACGAAATACTTGAATTAATACACCACAATAATAAAAAAAAATTTATTTAACTAATTTATTAAAATCTCCCTACGTCTATTTGAGATAATATATTTGAAGCAAAATAAAACATAAACGAGCAGTTCCATCTAGTTCTCTATTCACCTTAGAGCTATAATTGATTGTTGATATAAATGTCACAGAAAATCGACATTTTGCCTGACATTACTCTCGAAAAGGACAACTTTTTGCTCGTAATATCAATTTTTTCGCGACATTTTATAACGAGTAAATTGAAATCGATGGCTTGCTTGCACTTTTTCAATCCTCCACGCTTGAAAACTCCTTTCAACTCTCTTTCTGAGGATTTATTAGGGAAAAGATAACGTCGAAATCCCTTCAATTTATATGCGTGTGAGTTGACGATGCCATGAAGACGTAAACGGAATGGAAACATCCTGCGATCTGGCTGCAAATTCCCCCATAAAAGGAGACCTTTACGATTTCTCGCCCCAAATAATTGTGTTTATGGTACTGTTTGTAACTGTACGCCGTGTAGGAAGTATCAAATAAAATGAAACAGCATAGTTATTTCTCGTTGCCTAGCGCTTATTTTTGCTTTAGTCTGTGTGAATTCCACTCAATTTCTCACGCCGTTGGTTGAGAAGGAACACAAAAAATTCATTTTGGGGAAAAGATTGAAGGGATTATTTAGATGCAGAAAAATATTTTGAGTCGGGCGAAGAGTTTGAAATTTACATTGTCACTTATCTCTGAGTCTCTATTTTAGAAAAAAAAATATTCCGGAGCCATTTCAATTTTTATGAAATGGAGTTAATTTCAAGAGGAGTTGAGAACTAATAATACACTACTAATAATAAACACTATTGAGAACTTTTTTTTAATAACGGCAGGCACTTGTGGGGGCGGAGTTATCGACCATGCCAACCTTCATCTATAAAAAGGTACCTCGACATAGAGTCGAGTTAACATGTCTTATATACTAGTGAATTGTAGTTGTAATTTTGTAGTGGTAGATATGCTACACATTGAACTTTCCTTCTTCGCCTTGGAAGATGCCGGAAGTGTTGCTCATTTATCGTTACCCAGTGGGCCAAAGTCACGGAGGCGAACAACATTACCCACGCCACACTGCCACAAATACCCGTTCATAGGGTGGGCCACATTCACACTTCAGAAGACAACACA